TAGTGATTTTCAGCCATTTGCTTTCTCTTCAAAGAAAAGCCTAGAGTCTGTCTTTTATGTGCTGTTACAATTTGACATTTATTTGGGGTGCTGTAATTCTGTAGATGTTAAAGACCAGGAAATGGATAGTATACACATGAAGGCCATTTTGCCCTTTTCCTATTTGAAGGTCCCAGCCAACTGAATTGAGCTGAATAGCAATCCCTGCAGTCCCCCTACATGTTCTCCATGTCTCCTGTGGGGAATTTTAGACACATTATTTGTGGCATAAGAATGTTAAAAATTGTCTGGCCTGGAGCTCTTACCTGCTGTAAAGCTTAAGTGGAAGAATAAATAAATCCTTTAAAGTTGCCACTTTTTTCTTGTTGTTTTTCCATGTGAGGAACAAGAATACAGATTTAAGCAACTGTATATTTATGCATCTTAGATCCGAAATTTTAAAATTTTTTCCCAGATTTTGTTGAATTTCTAAGACCAGTATGAAAGCTTAATTCAGTAAAGACTGAGGAAAAATTGGTGGCCACCAGGATTTTGAGGAATTCTATTTTTAATCTTTTTTTAAAAAATAGATCGAATGTTTCTATAGAAGAGTCTTTCAATTTTGTGGTCCTTGATTTGTTCGCCTTCTTAAACAAATGTTAAGTTTTTTTAAAAAAAGAAACTGACTTATCAATCATATTGCTAATAGCTCTAGCAAGAAGTATATATGCTACTTTCCTTTCTCCCAGTGTATGAATAAGCTAAGTGACTGCTAGTTTTAATTTCCTTCTACTTAGTTTTTGTTTTGTTTTGTTTTAGAATTAGAACTAAGTAACTTTGAAAGTTGTTGAAATTGATGTACATTTATTTACAATTATAGTTTAAAAAGTGAACAGCCAAAGGTCATTATGCTTCTGTTACTTGTAAATACTGTTCTTGATGGCTGATAACTAATTTTATACTTAATTATAATAACTAATAGCATAGTTCCAATATTTAAACTATTGCTTGGAAACGGGTCAATATGTTCTTGATTCATTAATATTTAGGAAGATAATAAGGCATCCTAGAGTATAGAAGAGGTTCTAATATTACAAAATCCAGTGTGAAAGATACTTGGTTATCCATTTAATCTCAGCACTGATTTTCTTTTATTTTCTTGTATTTGTATCTTTCTTGTTAATAACTTTGACCTATAAAAGTTAGTTTATTCTTGGTTAGAGGGTTTTTAGTATTGCTGAGAAAATGCCTATTTCATATAAGAATATGACATTTTTATAAGAAGACTAAAAACTAATATTAATTAATACAGATACTTTATTGTGTCTTTCTTCCTTTTAAACATAGTTGTATCTGTCTGGGTCCAGTCAGGAGATAGAAACCACAGAATTTGTTAAACAGGGTAAGTTTTATATAAAGAATTATTGAACTCTGATAAGAGTGACTATAATATATAAGAAAACTCTGTATGGTACCCTAGGGCTAAGGGAGGAAGACCAAACATGTAAGAGGCCAGACCTCCTTGGAGAAGGTATAGTTCAGTCCACTGAATTAGTACCGAAGTCTTTTCTTTTGCCCAGCCTGGAGCTGATCTGTAGTTTGAGGGCCATCAGAGGAGTCTGAAGTGCAGGCGATCAGCAACAGGTGGCATGGGTATGCAAAGGGTGTGGTGGCTGAGTGTGAAACCACAGACAAGCAGCCCATGTGGTCCACCAGAGGAAACTTGGGTGCTGATTAGGCCAAGGGGCCTTCAGTGTGCCTATCAAGGCAGGAAGCCTTCAAAGTGGCTATATTCTGTGTTGAGAGGGCAGGTTGTCCCTAGGCCAGGCCAAGACTGAAAGTTGCAGAGACACTGTGCCTCTGGGCTTGTGGCTGGGGTGGCATTTCACCTGATGTCCTCACCCCCATGCCACTGGCCACCATGCAACAGTTGGGAACTGCAGAAGAGCCCTTTGTCCTGCAGTCTCCTTTCCGCACTCTCTGCTGAGAAATCTTAAAGTGGTTGTTCACAGTAGAGATGCTTAAAGGATTTATGTCCATATGTCTTATATTGAAGGGTGAATTTGGGGCTGAGAGCCAGTAATTTGATAACTGACACAATAATGTTCCTTTTTCCAGCTTTTTTTTTTTTTTTGCCATATATGTGTGTAAAAACTTTTTACTAATTACCTTTCTTTACTTTTTATTTATTTGTGTTTTCATTTCTTTAGCCCTGTTGAAATTTTGAGTCAGGTAATTGTTTTGTGGAGCTGTCCTATGCATTGTAGTATGTTTAGCGGCATCCCTGGCCTGTGTCCACTAGATGCTAGTAACACACACACACACAGTTGTGACAACCCAAAATGTCAGACATTACTAAATGTTCCCTAGGGAGCAAAATCTTCCCTGGTTGAGAACCATTCCTTTAGCCTGGTTGAGAACCATTCCTTTGTGGTTTTTTTCTGTTAGAACCTATATAAATCTCTCTTTAATCAGGGGTTGCTTGTGTTTTTTATCAGGTTCTATTTAGATAAAGAGGGAGTTTTAAAGAATTATAAAATTTTATTTTCAGAAGAGGAATGAGAAGCTAATCAAACTCTTTATTGTGTCTGTATGTGAATTTGGAATTTTCAATAGATTTTGTTTCTAGGCACCTTGCTATTTGGATGAAGAGCTAAGATTAGATCCAATTTTTTAAAATGATATGTTTGTTGTGTTCTATTATATTCATTCTCTGATTCAAGAGCATATGTTATGCATGTACCATGTTAGGTGCTAGAAATTTAATGATGAGGCAGTGAATAAAATTTCAGGTATGCATGAAGAGTTATATTATTTAGCGGTCACATTCTTTCTTGATACCTGATGATAGAAAGACACTTTTTAAAAGCATTGGAAGAATAATTGCTTCATATATGAAAGGACTGTGTCAAAGGCAGATTATGCTAAGAGTATTAAGCATTAAAATATGATTTTGTATCTTAGCATTAAGGTACGATTTTGCATTGGCTTTGCTAATAAGCATTAACATACAATTTGTAGCAGTAAGATACAGTTTTGTGGCTGCAGTGGTTGAAACAGTTGTGGACTTTGAATCAGAAGACTGAGATTCTGGTCTTAGTTCTTAATTAAACATGTAACAACCTGCACCTTAGTTATCATCTGTGAAATTATACTGGACTAACTGGATTCGAAATTCCTATCCTAACCAGTTCTAATGTAGTATTAGTCTTCCCCCAGATTGGAATTGAAGATGAGAGTAGAGAATATCTAAAGCCTGTTACAGTCTTCCATGACAGGGGTATGAGAAGGAACAACTATAAATTTTATTTTTTTATGTAGTTAATGATTGCATAAGCATGTCAATAGTTTGCTACTAGATTGGATCGAGACAAGTCTAGTAACAGAATGTGTTTTTAACACCAAGCTGAACTGAAATTGTGGAGCTATTTATCTGCTTTACAGAGATTTGATTTTGATAAAAATTCTGAGTATAAAAAATATTTTATCATGGGATTCTGGGTGAGTTTAAAAGGACTTGCTTAAAAAACAATGTACAGAATGGGAGAAAATACTTGTAAATGACCTATGAGGTAAGGGGCTTGTATCCAGAATTCATAAAGAACTCTTACAACTCAGCAATAAAAAGACAAACAGCCCAATTTTAAAAGGGGCAAAGGATTTAATAGACATTTCACCAAAACTAAAATGAGATATCACTTCACATCCACTAGGATGACTATAATCAAAAAACCAACAATAATAACTGTTGGCAAGGATGTGGACAAATTAGAATCCTCATACATTGCTGGTAGGAAGGTAAAGTACAGTCACTTTGGAAAATAGTTATGGCAGTTTCTCAAAACATAGTTACCATACAGCAGTTAAACAGAGTTAACATATGACCCAGCATTTTCATTTCTAGGTACATACCCAAAAGTATTGAAAACATATATCCATATAAAAACTTGTACACGAATGTTCTCATAGTAGCATTATAGCCAAAAAGTGGGAACAACTCAAATGTGTGTCAACTGATAGATAAACAAAATCCGATAAGTTCATCCAGTGGAATGTTATTTGGCCATAAATATAAATGAAATTCTGATACATGCTACAATGTGAATGAACTTTGAAAACATAATACCAAGTGGGAAAAAAAACAGATGCAAAAGACCTCATGTTTGTATGATTCCACTTATGTGAAATGTCTGCAATAGGCAAACTATAGAGATAGAAAGTAGATTAGAGATTTCCAGGGGCTGAGGAAAGGGGTGAATGGGAGTGACTATTAACAGCTACAGGTTTTATTTTGGGGGATGATAAAAATGTTCTGAACCCTGAATATACTAAAAGCACTGAATTATGTAATTTAAAAGGATGAAATTTATGGTTTGCAAATTATATATCAGTAGTTTTTAAAAAAAAAAATTGAACCTGAAAAATTAAAGGAGTTTAATGAATCTGAGATCAAGCTTCAATTGACAGTTCATATACGTCAGTTCCACATTCCTTTCAAAACCTTTCCTATAATATTATTTTCTTTAATGTTTAATATTTACTGTGTTCAGTATTTTTACTGTATTTCTTTACACAGTTCTGGTTAACATTTAGTTTACTTGAAGCTGTGCCTTTATAGTTTAGCAGTAAGAACAGGACTAGGAGAGTCAAGACATCTATTCCCTACCTAGTGTTTTTTGCTTTGATAACACAAGTAGTCACATATGAGCGGGTCTTCAAAAAGTTTATGGAAAGATTCGTATTATCTATTTTTCTATGAACTTTTTGTAGTACCCGTAACTGTTTGGGGTTTCTGAGAAAAAATGTCTATGCAATTATCTAGGAAGAGGAAGCACTAATGTAGAAAATATTAGTTTTATGTCTTGCTTTATGTTTAGTTATAGAAAGATAACTTAAGGAAAAAGTAATATAAATGATACACTTTCATCCTTCTGGGAGGATGTTTAAAATTTTCATCTCTTTATGTGAGGTAATCTGTTATAATGTTCATTTTTAATAACAAATAATTTATATCATTACAGACAGATTTGACCAGTTTTGGGCCATCAATCGGAAACTCATGGAATATCCAGCAGAAGAAAATGGATTTCGTTATATCCCATTTAGAATATATCAGGTAGGAAGCAACATTCTTCTTCAGACATCTTGCTTCTTAAAGCATTCTAGTCCAGAACTCTTAAGTTTGTGTAGTAACTGAACAGTATTTATTAGGGTTTTTCAGATCTCTGTCTTTTGGTGGCCATCAAACAAGATACTGCACTGAAATATTTGGATCATATATAGTTAATTCTCCTTATTCATAGATTCTGATTCACCTACTTGCTGAAATTTATTTGTAAATCCAAAAATCAATACTTGGAGCACTTTTGCCGTCATTCACAGAGACATGTGCAGAGTGGTGAACAATTTCATTTGCCTGACGTGCATGTTCCCAGCTGAGGTTAACAACACAGTGCTCTGCCTTCTTATTTCAGTAGTATAAATAGCATCCTTTTCTGTCTATTTTGTGCCATGTTTTTCACATTTTTGTGCTTTTTGTTGGTGATTTTGCTGTTTTAAATAGAACCCAAGCATACTGCTGAAGTGCTGTTTTTTAAACAGAAATACACATAAAACAAGGTTATATATTGATGAATATGTTATGACCAAGGCTCTCAGAAACATAATCCTCTATTTCCCCTTGGAGCAATGGTTCAGTATTTGCTAATTCAGTGTTTGCAGTGACTTTATAGGACATAACTACTGCAAATAATGAAATAGACTGTGTCTATTTGTTTTAGTTGTCTTTAGTGTTGTACAACAAAATAGATAGTAGGCTCACTTGCATGAAGTTAAACTCCATTTTTCTGTAGAGTACGTTAAAAATCCTGTGTGCTTGGCCTATAGCAAATATTAAATATTTTTTGAATGAATGGATTCCAGTAAGCAAATTACCCACTATTATGAAAAAGCATTTAAGAACAGGAATTAGAAACATTATTTTCAAAGGCATAGACTCTAATCTAGTAGGGCTTCTGTTTAAAGCTCCAAGAGGTTTTGTCATAACTTCCCTTTGTAGTCACTTTTAGTATCTCAAAGTGACTATCTATTAGTTTTTACTAATAGTTACTTCTATAGTTATTTTTAGATCTTTTATAGAACCATCACATAACTGAGTGTTCAAAGAAGAAAACAAATTGTCTAATTGAAAATAAGCAAATGAAAATCTTAATATACTGGAAGAATGAGGAGTATTTCTCATTTAGTGTCACAGGTATAGTTTTCAAGTGGTTCATATTTTTCATGAAGGCAGGGTTATTGTTATGTTCATAAAGTATGTGCATGAACTGAAAGTGCCTGGCATGTGAATTTTTGTTAATCCGTGAAATCATGTATCATGCATTAATATTATTTTTATTATTTATATTCATTTTACTGTACCATGAGCTCCGTGTAACATACCATAAGGTATTCCCACAGCCTAACAAAGTATCGTATTTGTGGAATTTAGTTGAGTAAAATATACCAGAGTCTGAAGACATTTCCAAAAGAAAAGTTCTAAAACTGTTTTGCGATTTATGCCTCCCACCACTTATGTAGATTAAGTTCTGGCATATATATTTAACTATACTATAGTTTCTTTATAATAAATACTTTGATCTCCTGTAGGGAAAGTGTTATACTGTTACTTATTGTCGGGATTATTATTGTCAGAATAACAGTGCAGTGCAGGTGTCCAGAGGAGAGGTCTTAACTTTTTAAATTTATCATTCTTGTTTGTGGCGGGAAAGGGGGGGATTTGTCAATTTAATCCATACCTCTTACTGTGGTATAATACAGAGGATTCAGGGGGATGGGGAAAGAGAATATGTATGTGTAAGAGAGAATGTTTTTTATAAAGATCTATAATTAGATAGAAAGTGGGAGGGTAGAAAATTCTCAAAATTTGCTTGACAAAACTTGACTGCCAGATGGGGACTCTTAGGGCAGAGCTTCCTGCCTGCTCTTTTCTGTGTCAAAGCAGTTGGGCAGATTTTCCTTGAAACAGAAAGTGACAAAGAGCCCAAGGACTTTATTGGTTCTTAGTTAACCTACATTTATTTTTATTTTACCCCCTTTCCATTTTGGTTCTTATTTGAATTTGATTAAAATTTTAGAAATGAGATATGTAAGTGAATTTAAAAATCTTGGAGTTCTAGTTTTTGCTAATTTGTCATTTCCTGGCTTTCCCTGTTTCCCTATTTTATATTTTTGAATCTTCATTGATGCTGCAACCAAAGGAGGATGGGGCTCTGCTTTCCCTTTTCTTCATTACAGTATGTAATCAAAGGGTGACATCAGATTTTTGTTACTGACTTCTTTACATCTGATTAGTTTGCATGGTTGTGATAGTCTGTTTATTAAGTATAGCTTTTACTTATGCAGCATTTTGATTAATTAGCACTTTTTTTCATTTCTTTAACACAGTAGGTATAAATCTCTGTACTATTTGAGACCTTAAATTAGCAAGTAAACGTAAAGAATACCTGAAAATCCAGGTTTATTAATAGATAGGTCATAGTTTTTATTAAAATATTTATTTTACTCTGCAGAATCCTAATAAAATTCCTGTATAGCAAGGGGGGAGAGGAAAGGGCACTATGCCTGCTTAAGTGAGGCTTATTTTATCTGTAGAAACCTTAAAACCATCTTAAGGATATAAGAATTGTTATCTGATTTTACATTTGAGGGAATTGAATTTCAGGGATTTTTAAGTCACTTGCTCAGGGTCAAACAAATGAAAAATGAAAGAACTGGAATCCAGACTTAGATCTGATTTCTGAATAGCATTTGATTTTCGTTTATAAAAATTAAGGTTACAGAAATTTTAGAACATAATTATCACAAAAAGTGAAGTTCACTTGGTCATATAAGTTGATAGGAGTGTACAAAACCTGTTACTTTTGGTGTTCTTTAAAGACCAACTTTTGTGAAGATTGTTGGAAAACTATTTCATTTGTAATACGTTTATCATTGGCTCAAAATGACTGTAATCAAGTGACAGAATTTTAGTGGTAAAAGTTAAATTGGTCCAAAAGCTGTCTAGAGATGTTACAGATCAAAATGTGTCATATCTGTCATTTACATAACAGTTTAGTTGGTGTGTGAGTTTCAGGTTTGTGTTCCTGAAGCCCAGGTGCTTCTTATTAGCCAGTATTCTAAAGATGAGGTTAATGGCAGAAATGTAATTTAGAATAGCACATGTAAACAGATGGTGATTAATAGGATATTTGCAAAAAAGATTTGTGAAATGATTGTGAAGTCCTTAGGCATTGGTATTTATGTTGTGGAATGAAAATTAGCCTTATCATTTCTGTTTTTCAAGAAGCAACAGATTCATAAATGTTATCCAGCCATTATACTTTGCATTAGACAGGTTTCTCGTTCATTCATTTATTCATTCATCCATTCAAAAAATTCATTTACTCACAAATATTTGTGTGCCATGCTCTGTGCTATGCACAGGTGATACAAGTGGTGATTAATATACATCACCCCTTTGCAAGCTTATACTGTGAAAGTGAAAACAAACTATTCAACTAGGTATACAAACATGAAATTGTAACTGTGATTGCTGTGAAATCAGTAAAAGCCTAATGTCCCTAGGAAGTAGGGACATATGATCTAATTTGAGAGGTCAGAAGTAGATGCCTTGAGGAATTGTTGTACCCCCAGAGATCTTACAGATGAGTGGAATTAAGGTAGGGAAAGAGTCATTAAAAGAGCTGTGTAGGCAAAAAGAACATTATGAACCTGAGTACAACCTGTTTGCCTTGTGCAGAGAAAGTAGGGGGAAATAAGGCTGCAGAGATAAGGGTCAGACCATATTAAGGAGTTTTCTATTCATTCTGTAGAGAATAGGAAATCCTAAGGGATTTTTAATAATCTGAATATTTGTTCTTATTTATTGATTGATTGATTGATTAAAAATTTTGGGGGGGGGCGGTAGCTGGCCAGTATGGGGATCCAAATTCTTGACTTTGATGTTATAACAACCTACTCTAACCAGCCAGCCCATTCATATTTATTCAGCAAAGATCATTTAGTCACCTACTTTGTTCTATGTGTTATTCTTGATGTTATAAATAAATTTAGAGAATCTTAGGAACAACCTAACAGCGCTATTTTTAGTTTTAAACAAAAACATGAAGTTGATAAATACTTCTTTAATAAAGTTAAAATGGTTCTTTTTTTGTCTTTGGAAGAAGTTGTTTGTCAGTTATACAACAGTAAAATTTTAAAGTAGAATTTGAACTAAATTTTGTTCCCTTTCATAATTCTCAGAACTCTGCTCCTCTCCTGCTTATTATTGCAATGTAAAATTGTTCATTTGTGACATTAAAACTATATTAATATTTTAATTTTATTGTGATGTTTGTTAGCCATTTTACTTAAGCAAATCTATTTAACTTCAATTATAAATAGAATATTTGCTAAAAATATTTAAGAATCTAGCTCCTTAGAAGTTTTGGGGAGACAGAGTACATTTTTTAAATGGAAAATAGAATGTCATGGATTAACTTGACACTTCCTAAACTGAAGAAGGAGCCAAATTTTAGGCTGTTTTGATTCCAGGAGGGTTGATTTATGAAATTTGAAAAGTGAGGACAATAGAAATGTGTGGCAAATTATGGCTGTATTTGTTAGTATTCCTCCTCTGGGGTTGTGGCAGTGGTGGTGAGAATTTATAATTGTATTCCATTGTTTTGTATTTTAGTCAATATCTTGCAGTAACATCTAGTAGTAAAGCCAGAGACCAAGAGGAGTGACTTAATGGTTAGAAATTGAATGTTATTGCTTTTAACGTAGGTTTTTGATCATTCAGAGAGATAAACTAATTTGTAATACATTTTGAACTGTGCAGAGATTTTATAGCTTTAGCAAAATAGAATGTAAATATCCTGTTATATAGGTGAATGTACATTACTTTCAAAATTTATAGTACCTTTCCTTTTTAAAAAATTTTTTAAAAAATTATAAATGTGAGATACACATAACATAAAATTTGCCGTCATAACCATTTTTAAGTGTACTGTTCAGTAGTGTTAAGTACATTCACATTGTTGTACATCTGTTCTCCAAAACTCTTTTCATCTT